TTTTTATATTCTATACCCAAATTTTTAACTCTTATATTTTTGAAGCAACATGGTTTTTTAGATTTTCCAATTACAAGAGATTTCAATTTATGTAAACTATCAACGTTTGAACAAAGTGTAATTGTTAGGCGTTCCTTATTTATTTTATGTCCAGAAAGACATTAAGTTGCCAACATTCTATCAGATTCTAATCTAAGGGTAAATTTTGTAATGTAAGAAATAAAAAATAATAATAATAATACATATATGCTATAAGTAGGAATAGAAATTAAGTGAATATAAATTTATTTAAATTCTATTCATATTTACAATATATATACAAATAAGGTTTATAGAGTTTATACCGATAAAAAAGTTTAGTTTCATTCAATTGTAGATTCTTTCAACAAGATAATTTGTGCACTTATTTTTTATTACCGGCATGATGTTATCAATTGCTACCTTATCAGCAGATGCGTTTCTCCTTGAAGCTGGCGTAAACGAATACCATTCAATTTTTGAATTTATAAAGCTAGCTAGAGGAGAAGTTTAAGGCTCCTTGAGGAATTTCCAAACTATCAGCAAGTGCTCTTGCCTTTTCGATAAGTAAAGCATTGTTTAAAACTGTCTTATGCTGATAAATCAGCATGAACTCCTTGAGGGTGAGATCAAGTTCTGGGTAAGTAACGGCTCTGTACTATTTTGCATTAGAGTTAACAATTCTATTTTCAAGTTGTTGTTCACTTGTCTTCAAGATACACGAAACTGTACTTTCATTAACTCTAAGACTCCATTTGTTCTCGATTCAAGTAATATATTGAGATTGTGTTTTTTTATTATCCCAAGCATAAACACAAAATTCATATTTTTGAGTATCAGTAAGGGTTGTTCTCTTAGACATTTTTTTTGAACAAAAAAAAATTGATTATACCATAGGATAAGTTATTTAAAGTTTTTTTTTAATTTTATTAATTTAAAACATATTAATCTGACAAAAATTTTTAATTAGCTTTTTATTTGTCTTTATAGTATATTGTTTTTACAAATAAGTTAATAAAATTTTATATTACACAAAACTCTACAAAATTATATGTTTAATTAATTTGATCTATGAGAACAAAATAATTTTAATTCTACTGATCATCAAAACACAAAATCTGAAAACAAAATTTTAACTAAAACTACAAGAACACACAAAAACTCACTAGGAAACTAAGCTC